AATTCATCTGTGTCACTTCACGGGCTTTCATTTCTTCAGAGAGGTACTTGGTCCGAATAGCAGCCTTCTTCTGTGAGGCGGCAACATAAGTGAGTTGCTTCTTCACGGACAGAGGAGCTGAAGGTCGGGGAGGGTTGGGAGGCTCAGTCTTCGACAAGTGAGAGTCGATCAATACTGTTGCCGAGGGGTCATTGGCCTGCTGAGCTGGGGCAGGTGACTTCCCCACAACCACTTCAGTAGGAGGTTGGTCCAAATTCAATGGTGCAGAAAAGTCTGGAGCCGACTCAACAGACTCCGACCCATCGTTGTCGGACCAATAAGCAAACTCGCCGTTGACTGGTTTATTGGTGGGGCTAATTACCAATGGACCCGTTGTGTCCATCATCACCAAATCATCCTTATCGAGGGCAACAGAGTCGCGAACTGGTTTTGGAGTGGCATCCGGAAAGAACCCTCGCGCAGGAGAGTGAGGGTCAATTGGAGCTGATTTTCGTTCCGTTGATGGGTCCAGATCGCGCTCACGTTTTCGGCCCTTGGCTGCTGAGCGACGCTCAGCCAATTCCGTTACTACCGTTGTCGTGTCAGGGTCGGTCCACGGGTGGCCTAGAAGTTCAACCGCAATGGCCCACACTTTAGCCAGAGGACGTTGTTCCAGTAGTAAACAAGGTGCGACCTCCAAAGTAAAATCCCAATACCGATTGAAAAACATAGTCTCCTCCATTGGGTCGTCCAACGGAAAAATCACCAGAGGATCTTGTACCGCCAGCCCAAGAATCAGTCCTCGGACATAGACAACGAGCTCCCGGTCGTTTCCAATAAATTCGTCCTTGATGTCTCGGTCAAGCGCAGCTCGAATGCGTTGCTCGACCAAGTTCCAATCCCCATCACAAATCTGTAGTAGCTTCTCGGCTGCTTCTTCCCAGGATTCAGTCGCCGGAGGATCTACAAAATTTTCAGAATACCCTTCGCACCAAGGCCAGTGGAAATCGGGCTCGTTCTCCCATGCCGGGAACAGCTCGTTTCCAAAGACCACTTCTTTTTTATTGTTGCGTTGACCATGAGCACGGTGGATTGTGCATAGATAGGCAAGGGTTTGCAGGTTCCACTGAGACGAATCGATGTTCTGGACAATGCGATCGTACTTCAGTGGATTCTTGACCTCCTCCATCTCGGTGTCGCTGTTGTTGTTGACGATTGGAGGGTCCAAATCGTCAGATTCCTTTTTCGATCGAATTTCGGCGGTTTTGACTCGGCTTTTTTGCAAAAAACTGATGCGACCCTGAGTAAGAGCAGTAGAATTAACAGGTTTAGCAGCGATTGCCACTTTCTTGTTGTTCTTCGACTTTCCCATTGTCAGTTTTGATGCAAAAAGGAGGAGCGAGTTTCGTTTTGCTACAGAAAAATCGTGTAGGCGAAGTACCAAAAGTGATGTTTTGAGGACCCGGATATGCGTGTTGTTTTTGTATTTTGGTTTTTTCGGAATATGTTGTTCTCTCCAATATCAACCTCGTGGTAGGCAAGCAGGTCTCAGAAATCCTGTTGACGGGATTCCTGAGATTGGTCTTCCGGGTCCCCCCATTGACCTGGAAGACCAGCTTCACACCACAACCCACCGGTCAGACTCAATGCAGACAGATCCAAGACGAACACCAAGCGGAAGGCGCCAGTAGGCTATCTCAGATAGTTGATGGAGTGTTTCCACTCACTCTTGGTCATTCGCTCGTTCTCGTGCGACCGACAGACGGGGTGGGTTGACCGCAAGACGATGACTAGAGGAGTAAGCAGCACCGTACAGTTGAAGTGAAAGTCGGCCGACAGACAGGCAGATGCCATTTTTCGGTAATGTTTTTTAGTAACCAGGACAAATCTATCTGACTACTGGATGTCACTGCCATCTATCCATCAATATTCAAGCCGTACCCAAATCTCATTTCATCCTTAGCATGGTCCAATTCAGCTGATAAGCTTAACGTGGGCTGACCAGGTTCTTTCCCCAATTTTGTCTCTAGCACACTTTGCATCTTCGCCGTACCATCGACTGCAACTTGAAGTTTTGAGCGACTCCACTTAAACTCTGCACCAAGTACTACTTGTGATTCTAAGCTCATTGGATTGCAGCTCAATTCAGCCCCCAAGTTGACCCTGTTTGGAGTGACAACCCGCTTATAATTCAACGTGAGTAGAGATTGGCCTGTGTTGTACCCAGCAATAAAAGTCGAAGATGGTGCTTCTGAAGTCATTGCAGCCTTTTTCGATGCAAGACCGTCAACTTCGTCCCCTGCAGCTGGTAGAGTATATTTCATCAAGTAATTTGTGATCATGGCTTTGTTTGCGCCAAGGTATAATCCCTCGCCGCCCATGCTAAAGCTGGGGGTAATCGATTGGTAAAAGTTACATCCATAAGCAAGCCCACCCATCATGCTACCATATTTGAGATTGGCCGTCCATGTCTGCCCAGAAATATCCATTTCGGCCAAGCATTGGTCTGTTTGACCCTCAGGTGAAACGTTTATCTGCATTTTTCCCATTGCAAGTCCACCAAACAAGGATCTCTGTGCTCGACCATCAACGGATAAACGCTCGGGATCGACACGAGCAAGATAGTAGCTACTTTCATCCGCAACTTGGGTCAACCATGTATATGTCTTTTTTCGGCCATCAGGGATCATGTTTGTCCCCAGCCAAAAGCTGTGGACTACAGCCATATACGGGCTGAGTTGTTTGTTGATGTTACATCTGAAGCCATCATGCGTGTCCAGCATGACGAGATACTTTGCTTCCTGTGAAGCTTGCTCGAAAGGTCCAGGATTCGAGTATGCTGAAACTGCTTTTGCGGCGGTGCTGATTGAATCCGTCTCGCTGGAAGAATGGTTGACTGGAGCCGGTGAAGAAGTGGTTTCACTACTAGCCGGTGGCGGCGGAGGAGGCGCTGCATCGCATTTTGTAACCAGGCTACTTCGAGATAGAAACAGCGAGGTTGAATTTGGTGTTTTCGAGATATTATCCTTTGAACCGACTGCTCCCATTTGTCTTCCGTTGTTCTACTGTAGTTTGTTATTGAATTCAGTCAAATGCTTGTTTGTTTTGGAGATATTCGTCTCATAACTATACGCATCGCAACGAGGATGCATGGAAAAAATCTTGAATCGGATGGAGGATTGTGACGATCCACCTGTCCGGCACCCGTGTCGACAGGAAGAAGGAATCTGGAATTCGAACGTCAAAACCTTCGTCTTCTGTCGGCTCTGTATCGACTATTGGCAGGAGGTACTGTACTGTATCGGTTAGGTCGGTACCTGGTACCTGGTACTGGTACAGACCAGGTACAGTAGCCTGCTGACGCCTTCTGTCTAGAGGGCCTTCTGTAGGATTCTCCCAGGAGTGACTGACTAACTCTGTTGGGTTCTTGTTGGGTGAACCTGGTCTTTGCGATTGGTACACAGCAGGATAGGGGGCCTCCTCCTTTTTGCTTCTTGGAAGGATGGGTGATGTAGTAACCCTCCTCCTGCAGGGGGACGATGAGGTGCTGGTAGGGAAAGAAACAACCTAATCGGGCTCTTGATGTGTAATCACACAAAAGTTCGATAAAATGATCAAACTTGGTGTTTATATAATACTGAAGAGCAATGCTGAATTCTACGCCGCTGTCAAATCTGCAGCCAACAAGCTGTTGGAAGTTGTACAGACAACTCCCCTGAATCAGATAGTGACAAGTCAAAACTGTCATACATCAACCGTGAGAGTATGGAGAACCAGTCATGGGCAGATGTTGTTCGTAAGATGAACAATGGAATTACAGTAGTTAAAACTGTGCAGAGAGTTTTTGGGATGACCGAAAGCGTGAGTTTGCTTTGGGTATCCCAATTAAAGCAAGTTTTATTGACAACTTTAAGGTTCATAGTATTAGGACTAGGTTACGCTGAACAACTGAAGACTATGTGTCTCAGAGTATCGTAGGGTCTTTTATTATCTAACATAAGAGTTTTCAAAATAATATTATATATACATTTTCTCATATCTGAACACCAACTGCTACATGTCAACGGTACATGACCAAGAAGAGCAAGGAAGAGCTTGTTCAAGACTTGAAAGAAATAGAGTCAAAGGTCCAAAAGTTGATAATAGACCTCGGCAAGGAGAGGAGCGACGAAAGCAAAACAAATGAACGGGAACAAGAGGAGAAGTTTCCCATCACATTGGAAATTGGTGATAAAGTATTGATAAAGAAGCCTAAGAAAGGGCAGGAAACGATTGGAATAATCGAATCGTTTGGAAAGAAGTTTGTCACGGTAAAGACGGCAACACAAACAATCAAGAGAATCCCACAGAACTTGAAGAAAGTGGGAAATTGAAGAAGAAGAAGAAAAAAGATCCGGAATCGCCATGAGCTCTATGGGATACAGATTGACTACGGTCATGGGGCTCAAGCAATTGAAGGCGCCCAAGGAAGATGGGACAGAGCAAGACCTCGAGGACTTTTTGACAAGCCTGACTGACAAAGCAATCATCAGGTGGGCGGACGGAGGTGATGTGGGCTACAATGTGGAAGAAAACGCGGAGCCTGAGATAAAGGAGTCTGACTCATTGACGGCTGCAGAAGAGTCGGACGCCAGAAAGGTCAAAGCGTACGAAAGGTTGATGGACAAGTACGAAGATCGGAAGGACGCATTTTGGACTAACACAATCGCTATGTTTCAGTTAATCATGAGCAACGTGACTACCACGATGAGAAACAAGATTAAGTTGACTGATGGTCATTTGGTTGCCAGCAAGAATAAAGATCTGGTTTGGCTCATGAGCACCGTTGATGTATGCGTCCCTCCAAAAGGCCTTGAGACCCAATCACCTGCTGAGCCAAGAAGGCCGGCCGAACCGACGAGGAGATGGTCCTTGGAGGAAATGAAGGTGGTGTGCGAACGCCCTGAAGAAGCTGTAGGATCGCTATTTTGATGGAAGGGCCCGTCAAGTTTGTTTCTTTCAGGGAACCAACGACTCGTTCTACGCCACCATCACCTGTCGCCTGTGCAAGAACAAAGGACACTACCAGAGCCATTGTCCCACAGCCAAGGATGGAACGGGAGCAAAGTTGGAAGCTACTATCAGTGAGGTAAGCAACTACAGATGTGGTATTCTCATGAATCAATATCCAGATACTTACATTGATCCGAACTGGATACTCCTCGATAGTGAGTCCACCGATCATATTTTCAGTAACCTGAGTTATTTGACTGGAGAAAAGGCAACCACTGATGGGGAAGTATTGAGACTACACACTTCAGGTGGAACTCTTGATACTACGCAGAAGGGTCATTTTGGGGAATTTACGGTGTGGTATAACCCAAGTGTTAGAATAAAGCAAAATGTACTCTATCGTGAGTGCCTTTAGC